ATTGAAGGGTGGGTGGTAGTGCAGCAGTTAAGATGTAGCTTGGGATAATCAGCATTTCATATCAGAATGTCTAGGGTCCTGGCTTCATTTCCTATTCCAGCTTCCTGTTAATGTATACCCTAGGATGCAGCTCTCTGTCTCTTTCTGTCTCTCAAATAAATATAACATACATTTTTAAGAAAGATTTACTTATGTGAAAGGCAGAATGGCAGAGAGAGGACTCTTCCATCTGCTAGTTCATTTTCCACATGCCCACAACAGCCAGATCTGGACCGGGCCGAAGCCAGGAGCCAGGAGCTCCATTCAGCTCTCCCGCATGCGAGGCAGGGGCCTAAATACTTGGGCCATCTTCTGCTGCCTCCGAGGAACATCAGAAGAGGAGTGGCCAGGCCTCTAACTGACACTCAGATACGGGAAGCCAGCCTCAGAAGCGGTGCTTTAACCTGCTCTAACACATCGCTGGCCCCTAAAATTTCTTCAGAAGGTATAATTGACAGTAGATGCAAAGCTTTAGTTAAATGGTGCACCTTCCCAGAAATTACATTAGAAAAAAAAGCAAACGCATCCAATGTTTGTGGATTAAATGAAGTAAGTGGCACGTTCTAAACAAGCAACGACAGACATTTGGGGCTATTGTTCTGTAAAAATTGTGTGGCTGGGCATACAATAGGGAAGAAACACCTAATCAGTCCTGTCTGAGGCTTGGGTCTCGTGGTTGAATCACTGCGAATGAGGGTGGGCTGGATCAGGACTCCTTTCCTTCATGCCCTCTTTAGCTCCATTATGGGATAAACCATGGGTGAAAATGAGTGTATTACAAGCTGGGCCTGAGGCCTGAGAAGAACCCGGATTGCGGAGGAGGTTGGAATGGATGTAGAGAAGTAAAAAGCTGGAAAACAGAAGAGGAGGCCTGTGCAGAGCTGTTCCTGTATAGTACCTGGACAGGTACCAGAGGTTCCAGAATCCCAAGCCCGGAGGAAAGAGGAGCTCTCTTGCTCCACCTTCTGATACACATGTGCATGTGCTCCAGATGTTTCCTTCTGCTCAGACTGTATCTTGTGCCTCTTCTGAATGGCTGGGATACAGTTAACAGTTTACAACAGATGATAATTAAAAGGTCCGAGAATAGAAGATGGGCTGAGAAAATAGTTAGGGAAGATTACTTACCAACATTAAATGATATTCACAATAGTGAGTTGAGTGAAAGAAAGTAGGCTAGCAAAAAAGTGTTTATAGTCATTTCCTTTCTTTTTTTTTAAGATTTATTTATTTATTTGAAAGGCAGAGTTACAGAGAGACAGAAAGAGAGAAAGAGAGAGAGAAGGAGAGGGAGAGAGAAAGTCTTCCAGCAGTCAGTCTGGAGATTCCTCAGAAACCTGAATATAAATACCCTACCATTCAACCCAGCCACCCCACTCCTTGGAATTTACCCAAAGGAAATTAAATTGGCAAACAAACAAGCTGTCTGCACCTTAATGTTTATTGCAGCTCAATTCACAATAGCTAAGACCTGGAACCAACCCAAATGCCCATCAACAGTAGACTGGATAAAGAAATTATGGGACATGTACTCTGTAGAATACTATACAGCAGTCAAAAACAACGAAACCCGGTCATTTGCAACAAGATGGAGGAATATGGAAAACATCATGCCGAGTGAATTAAGCCAGTCCCAAAGGGACAAATATCATATGTTCTCCCTGATCAGCGACAACTAACTGAGCACCAAAGGGGAAACCTGTGGAAGTGAAATGGACACTATGAGAAACGGTGACTTGATCAGCTCTTGTCCTGACGGTTGATGTACAATGTAATACTTTATCCATTTTAGTATTTTTTTGTTCTAGTACCATTGGTTGAACTCTGTAATTAACACACAATTACTCTTAGGTGTTTAAATTTTAACTGAAAAGTGATCCCTGTTAGGAATTTGGAAAACATTATGCTGAGTGAAATAAACCAATCCCAAAGGGACAAATACCACTTGTTCTCCTTGATAGGTGACAACTAACTGAGCACCAAAAAGGAAACCTGTTAAAGTGAAATGAACACTATGAGAAACGGTGACTTGATCAGCCCTCACCCTGACTGTTGATGAGCAACTTGATATGTTATCCCTCTTAGTATTTTTTTTGTTTATTCTACTTAATACTTTTGGTTGAATACTGTAATCAATACACAATTCTTCTTAAGTGCTGAAACTTAACTGAAAAGTGATCACTGTTAAA